ATGTAAATAAAAATTAAACCATATGTTAGTCCCGAAATGACCTAGTTTGTGTCGAGTAGACGTTAAACCCCATTTCTCTCTCTCTCTCTCTAGTAATTAGTAACACACTGGCTAGCAAATGAGGGGTTCAATTTCCGTGTTGGTCGAGAAAAATGAAATGAAATCGGGTTTAACGTCCTACTGTTCTGCTCCTAAACTGAGCTAATGAAGACGAGCATACGCCATACAGTATGCTATGAAGGAAATTTTGCCCAGGCAGCGGTGCTATGGCCTACTCTTATATCAAGTTCCAACTACCAAGGGATCTTTCATGTGCACTCCTGTGTGTACACGTGACCTCAGTTTTCCATGTTGGTCAAGAAAGTTCCCTTTGTTAGTAGTGGTGTAGGACAGAGGACCTAAAAAAAACAGCGTCTAGTCCATCACGTGGGTGTGCACGTAAAAGAACCCTTGACATTTGGAATTTGAAATGAGAGTAGATCATTCATTCATTCGTTTTCTCTTTGTGTGTCACCTACAGACCGCAACTATTAAAGGAGCTAGATCTCTATTCTTGGGCACTTAGAAATGGATACAAAATGTAATGAAATGAAATGGGGTTTAACGTCCAACTGTTCTGCTCCGAACTGGGCTAATGAAGATGGCCATACACCATACAGTGTGTTATCAGGGAAATTTTGCCCCGACAGTGGCACTACGGCCTACTCTTATATCGAATTCCAACTGTCAAGGGATCTTTTACATGCATGCCAATGTGTAAACGGGACCTCGGTTTTTTAGGCCATCTGAACAACTAGACAGCTGTCCTTGTCAGGCTCTTCGTCCTGCATCACTGACAAGGGGAAACCACGACGGAAATCTGGATGAACTTTCTCGGCCAATGCAGGGATCGAACACCCGACCTCCAGGCTAGCAAGCCAGGGTCTTACCCATTTTAATGACTAGACAGCTGTCTTGTCAGGGACTTAATTGTTAGTATCATGACATTAAACTGACATTTGTTTTACGTTTTACAACTAATATCAGGTTTATGTTAGAAAACTAACGTTAGATTTATGTTAGAAAACTAAAGTTAGATTTATGTTATAAAATTAACATTAGATTTACGTTAGAAAACTAAAGTTAAATTAACGGTTAAAATTATGACATAAAACTAACATTATATTAACGTTAGAAAACGAACATTATATTAACGTTAGAAAACTAACGTTAGATTTACGTCAGAAAACTAACGTTAGATTTACGTCAGAAAACTAGCGTTAGATTTACGTCAGAAAACTAACGTTAGATTTACGTCAGAAAACTAACCATAAACTAACGGTTAGAAACCTGATGTAAAATTTACGTTAGATTAACGTTAGAATTATAACCAATAATACATATATAATTATTATGTCTGAATTCCGACTATATATCAATTGTTAGAATGTGCACACACTTGTAATGTTATTTAATCAAGAAGTATTCAAAGGGAAAAAAATTGGTTAGTAATCCGTCATAAAGTTTACGTTACATTTACGTCATTTTCTGACGTAAAAGTAACCATAACCATTATGACGTAAAAGTAACGTAAATTTAACCAAAGAATTTTACCATTATTGGACGGTAACCAAAATCTAACCATAATGACGTAAACTTTACGTAAATCTAACCATCAATGTTAACTGGGAAGGTACCAACCGAACAAACTGTATACATAATATAAAATTCAAATCAAGTGGTAAATATTTCTAAGGAATTTAACAGGCATGGCAGAATGTTTCTGGCTTAAAATCATTGAATAAAGAACGAAATGTTAGATTTTATTTCATTCCTTATAGAGTTTGACTATTTCATAAAAGTGTGTGTGCCACTGAATAAAGACCAAAATGTTCGATTATAATTGTGTATTAAATAAAAGTGTGTCCTATTAAATCCAAATACAATGTTACACGTTTCTAAGGAATTTAACAGCCTCGGGTGAATTTTGTGTGCATATGTTCGTATTAAATTGTGCATTCTCTTTCTGCAAGATTAATCTGAGAAACAACCGATGTTTTGAACAATTCTTCAAGCCTAATAAGGCAAACGAACTGTCAAAAAACAATCCAATGGATCGTTACACGGGACACACACTGAAAAAAAAATTGTGTTGAAACAACACAAACTTGTGTTAAATTCAACACAAACTTGTGTTAAATTCAACACAAACTTGTGTTAAATTCAACACAAACTTGTGTTAAATTCAACACAAATGTTATCTTAAAATTCGGCGTAATAAATAATACCTGTTGGCGGCTACACTAGGTCTGCCCCGAGTCTGAAATTTGGAGTATAGGGGTAGCTCGGACCGGGGAGTAACATAGGCCAGGTGGCGTTAGTCTACCACTTCCGGTTTCGGAGTTATGACCCCGAGCGAAGCCGGGTACCTGTCTGTCTGTTCGGGGTTGGCGGCTACACTAGGTCTGCCCCGAGTCTGAAATTTGGGGTATAGGGGTAGCTCAGACCGGGGAGTAACATTTTATAATTTTATCATGAGTACAATCACCACCTGCATTACATTCTTCAATATTATATTTACCATCAACATGGTTACATGAAGAACGCTGTCGACAGAGCAGTCATGCCACTTCCGTACATGTATATTCCATATGAAGCCTGAATATTGAATCGCCCGTAATGACATTCTGTGCATTTTTGAATTAATATATTAACATCCATTTTTAATATTACATTCAATGTGATTGACCGTCTAAAATCAAAATTGTTTTCACCATATTTGACTAATAGTCTTCAATTTTCTTCGACTAAATATAAGAAATGTGATCTACAGGCATGATAAATCATGTTTGTTTTTTTTTCAACCTTTACCATGGTTTACATAATAAACCCCCTCATTGTCAATCACATATTAAACAAATACAATGAGCCAATGATCAAAGATTCGTTATCTTTCCAATGCATGATAGGGCCAATCCTAGCTCATTGTTCCAATTACAACGAATTCTATTTAAGATCTTTTTATCCTTGACATATGTTTTAAGTTTCTTCGGAATCGGCTAAATATTGTAGCATCTGGAGTGTCTACTAACTTGATGCATATTAGACTAACTCTAGAATGGAAGGTCTAATGCGTAACAAAATCCGACTCATCGAAGAACAAGAGAGTCCACAAACTTTGTACACATTTCACATTTTTCGTAAAAAACAGGGGGCTTATCTCCAGGACGGAAGTTCCATCTAAATCGGACAATTACTGTCGTACAATCAGGGGCCATTATCCAGGAAGTGACGGTCCAATATGTGCCAATATCGATAGGAATCGGGATCTTTTGGATCTAAATCTATATTTCAAGTTGCGTCAAAATCGGATAACAATTGTGACCTGTAGAGGGTCCACAAACAAATGTGGATGGGCGGACGGACGGACGTCCGGACCCACGTAATATTTATACGTCCGCATAAAAATGTGGGAGCATAATAAACCTAATCAATTCTGACCGTATCAATGTCCATTACACGTAGACGTTCTTTCTTCGTTATTACATTCTGCAGACATCTAGCTTTTATGTTAATGCAAATAACAGAAAAGATCAAATTTGGATACATGAACAGAAATGATCAATTTTAGCAGGTACGATCAATTTTAGCAGGTACGATCAATTTTAGCAGAAATGAAATGAAATTATTAATTTTAAACAAAACGAATAGAAGCTATCAGTTTTAAAGAAATGAAAAGAATGTATCAATTTGACAGGTAATAATCATTATTGGCAGCGATGATTATAGTAAAGTGTTATGCTACTTGCATTATGTTTGATTACAACTTAATTTATGTACAATAGTCACCCATCCACCCTGGATGACACCCTGCTTCACATTCTCCATTATTTATGTCACATGATGATGGTGTCCGACAATTTCTATCTGTATATTCTACAATAAAACATTCCAGGTGCTATTTCAAATATTTAGCTTGTTTATTACTATGCCCTTATATGTGATTTTCTCCACATTTAAGTTTTCTCCCTTTTCTTCTTTTTTTGGTGCTAAATCATGTCATATTTTTTTTTATCAAACATATTCGTATTAAAAACATTTCTTTTGATGTGTTATAAAGAAAAAAAACTAAGATGCATTTCTGTTTTCTACTGCACACGTTCCAAATGTCGAGGATTGGAAAAAAAACCCCAAAAAACAAGAAGTGATATCTGGCATATAAATGGATTTAAGAAGCGTTTTAAAATTTTGAAATATTTTGTCATTTCTTAAACATACATTATGCAAGAGCTAAATCTGCCAATTGCAGGTCTTTCTTTAGGTCTGAAATGTTATCTTAATTATTAATTAGACATTAATTAACTGATCCAGACCATAATCAACTCTCGATATCATCGCTAGCCTGCGATATTTACTGGATTAGAACATTATCTAGTTTTTAACTATTATAGTGAGAACTGCCCGCTCTTTATCTAATCTCCCATAATGTATCTTTAAGCAGTTATTTTGAAACATTTGTGTTTCATGTTTTATTATAAGATATTAGATTTTTTAAAAAATGAAATGAAGTCGTCCTACGTTTCTGTGCCGACTAGAGTAATGAAGACAGGTATACGTCATGCGGGATTTCAGAACTCTACCTCTGAGAAAACCACGGAAACTCTAGAATTGAACAGGTAGACCTATCAGTTTTTGAATGGTAGTAATTGTTGTGTTTTAGCAAACGTGTTATTATTTATATTAGTCTAAACAACTTTTATTGTTCATTATTTAACAATAGGATGAGACACAAGTTTTGCAACTTATAAAGTCTTCTCCTTCACATAAAGTTATAACATAAATCATATTATAATAAGATCCACGTCGAAAAATCCCGATGAACTTCTCGGCTAATGCAGGGATCGAAAACGCGACCTCCAGGCTAGCGAGCCAGCGTCTTACCCACTTAGCAATTATATGAATGCTCATTATCACCAATATTGACACAAACACATTTTGAAGAACATTAAATACAGCTCACTCTAACATTGATGGAACTTGCCTTGTTTACAGTCATCACCCCTCCAACCTGGTTTACATCCTCCTTCACATCTTCCATACTCTATATCACATGATGATGTTGATATCAGACAGTTTCTATCTTTACATAAATTATTACAATTTTCTCCATAGTTTATAGTCTGATTACATTCTACAATAAAATATATTATTATTTGTATTACATGATGCTTTCACCATGGCGATCTTGATATCAGACAGATTCTAATTATCTTTAATATTACATGATGCTTGCACCATGTATGGTGATCTAGATAACAGACAGTTTCTGTCTTTACATAAAAGGGGTGGGGCGAATGGTTAACTGGTGCGCGTTGGATCATAATCATAAGGTCTGTCATTGAGTAAAGTCTCGTGGTTTCGATTTCCCGCCTGTACGTGACAAGGAATAGGGTCGCTTGTCCAATCTCGTGAGTTTTCTCTGGGTCACCCGGTTTCCAGCCACTGCTATAAAGAGTCCTACGCGCAAACGAGATATTGAAATAAACAAAAAATACAATTTACAAATCTGATATGACAACTGTATGAATGGTGAAACAAATATTGAATTTCAGATACAAATTTTGATTTTAGTGTACAAATATCGAAATACGATAACAGATGAAGAAATAAGAATTAAGGACTATGGATTAAGAACTAAGAATTAAGAACATTGAATGTAATAAGTAATGAGTAATTTGACCTTGTGTACAATCACCACCTTGATATCCTGCACTGCATCCTCTGTTATTACATTTACCATCCACATGGTTACATAGAGAAGCCTGTCGACAGTGACGTGAATAACAATCTTTAGAACAATCTTTACCATATGAAGACTGGTAACATTCTGTGGATGGATAAATTAAAATATTAACTTATTAACTGCGTTCATGGTCACCAATCAAAATCGTCGTTTAATACGATTATACCTTTAGTAAGAGTAGCGCGAACAGTTTATTCACTCTCCCCTGACATCATCTACTGTTAAATTTGGCTGTTTTGTTTATGAGTGGGTTGGGGGCACATATAGGATATTCGTAAACTTTGAACATACTCTAGTCCTCGAAGTTCTCTAATTGTGCCAGTCTTTATCGATTTTCGGGCGGCTTAGTTGCTTAGTTGCCACGATATTGTTGACCCGCATCTTATCTGTGATATACAATGTATCTAGATCAGCTCTTCAATAATGTCCCGTTTCTTCGTCAATTTAAACTATAAATCTTACTTGTATTACAACTTGTTCCAGTAAATCCATCAGCACATCCATTAGGACATTGACCTGTGACTGGATCACATTTATCACCAGGTGATTGACAGTAACACAATGATGCACAATCTGGTCCAAAGGTACCAACCGAACAAGCTGTATAAATAATATAAAATTCAAATTTATAAGGAATTTAATAGCCACGGCAGACTAGTTTTGGCTTAAAATCATTGAATGAAGACTGAAATATTCTTTACCATATGAAGACTGGTAACATTCTGTGGATTGATAAATTAAAATATTAACTTATTAACTGGGTTCATGGTCACCAATCAAAATCGTCGTTTATTACGATTAAACCTTTAGTAAGAGTAGCGCGAACAGTTTATTCACTCTCCCCTGACATCATCTACTGTTAAAGGACAATATTGGTGTCAGTCATTATTACATATGTGATAGAACTGGTTAAATGCATTCCAAATATAATTTTAACACAGAGATCATTGCTACGGGAGACTTGTAACAAGCACGTGAAGAAACGGGAAGTGACGTCAAACATGACAAACATGAGTTGTCCTTCTATATAACATACTGAAGTAACGAGCGGTAACAGACAGACGATCGAATTTCATTTCACTGATAATTCCGTTGAAGTTGAAAAATTATTATATGGGACGGTGAGAGAGTTTCTCACAATTAAAAAATAGAATTGGCTGTCACTAGATAAGGGACACCAGAAAAAGTAGAAAAATCCCGTGCATTCCCCCGTTTTTATTTATTCTGTTCTTAATAAAAAGATGGTAATGCACGGACTTTTTCTAATTTGTTCGTTATCTTTTATCTACTGACAGCCAATTCTTTTTTTGAATTGTCAGACATCCTCTCATCGTCTCATATAACAACTTTTCATCTTCAACTGAATTATCAGTGAAATGAAATTTGATCGCTTGTCTGTTACCGCTCGTTACTTCAGTCATGTTTGTCATGTTTGATGTCACTTCCCGTTTCTTCACGTGCTTGTTACAAGTCTCCCGTAGTAATGATCCCTGTGTTAAATTTATATTTGGGATGTATTCAACGAGCTCTATCGCATGTTTTATAATGACTGACACCAATATTGTCCTTTAAATTTGGCTGTTTTGTTCATGAGTGGGTTGGGGGAACAAAGTAATCTAATTGTGCCAGTCTTTATCGACATGCGTACGGCTTATTGGCTTAGTTGCGACGATATTGTTCACCCGCATCTTATCTGTGATGTATAATGTATCTAGATCAGCTCTTTAATGATGTTCCGTTTCTTCGTCAATTTAAACTATAAATCTTACTTGTATTACAACTTGTTCCAGTAAATCCATCAGCACATCCATTAGGACATTGACCTGTAACTGGATCACATCTATCACCAGGTGACTGACAGTAACACAATGATGTACAATCTGATCCAAAGGTACCAGGCGAACAAACTGTATAAATAATATAAAATTCAAATTTATAAGGAATTTAATAGCCACGGCAGACTGGTTTTGGCTTAAAATCATTGAATGAAGACTGAAATATTCGATTCTATTTCATTCCTTATAGAGTTTGTGTATTTATAAAAGTGTGTGCGTCATATAAAATTCAAATAATGTGGTACATATTTCTATTCTGCTTCTGCAAGTCCGTTTTCCTATCCAGATTAAGCTGTAATACAACAAATATTCTGAACAATAAATATTCTAACAAAGCGTTTTGTGAAAAAACCCCAATCCAATTGATCACCACAAGCACTTTGGTTACATTGGTTACAAACTGTTCTGGGCGGCAGAATTATGACATTTTACACATCTTACGCGTGTGCATACAATTTTATGACCCATGTATCTAAATATACATCGAACTGTTTTATTTATTTATTAATAATTCTAAAATATGTTTTAGAATCTAACTGACATGAAATATAAAGTTACTATTTACGCCCCATAAACTTCATCGCTGATAGTAGTGGCTGGGGGGGAATATTTAATACGGATCAGTTTGGTGAATACAGTGCGGCTCCACGTGCAAGTCTATTTTAAGCCAGTTTGCTTCGATTGACATAATTACTTTATTTACAAGGCAACACTTAAAGCTGTAAAATAGGGGCGGGGGAGAGGGGGGGGGGGTCTCTAATAAACCCTTACTTCTTCAAACAGGTTTGTCCGGAAATATATGCCCTTCGCAATCTCGGCCTAAAGTCCCACCTCTGCCACTGTTGACGTTAGTATACTTTATTTTAAATTTCTCTTACCATAAACTTCAACTTCACAGAGATTCGCAAAAACGCTTAGTTCTCGTGTAGACTTGTCATTGGTAATAGTTATATATCTTCCTGCACTGTTACAGTGTACCATAAATCCATTAGGCTTATTCGTTGAATCATAATTATCTTCTGGTCTACACGGGTGTTGATTTGTTTGGTTACGTTCATCTACGAATAATTTGAATCCTTTAAATCTATAAGTGATATCTATATAAATAAACAAGAATAATTTACAAAAATAAAAATGAGGATGTCTGTGTTTATTTTGGGGCGGACGACGTGTGGCGGGTAGTCATATGATTATTTAAAATAAATAAATCAGAATCATAAGACTGCAAAGACAAGCGAGGGTTGGACACCGACACAAATACACCTTTATTGACAGAAAAACTGCTTTCGGCAATATGTGTGTATGGATGTCTGAGTGTGTTTGTTTTGTCATGATGTGTGATGGGTAGTCAAATGGTGATAGTTTTTAAATATACTAAGTTAATTGGCCCTCGTTTCCATCGGAGACTAAATAAGCCTGTAAGATAAAACTCTAAATTGAGCTACATTTCGAAATAATAAATATTATTAAAACACCATTTTTGTGTTTTGTCAAATTCAATAACACAGACCTTCTGGTTTGCAGATTTATCGAAGTTTACATCAAAAATATTCTATTTTATTTGTATGAAATTCGTAACAAGCAAAGGTCAAATCAAAATATACATCTCCTTCTCGTTGGGCACCTTTATATGATGTAAGCTTTCAATACTGTTAATTTCATAAAATTCAGCCAATATATTCTTCCCGTTTTGTTGAAAACAAAATGGCTGTAAAATCAATCGTCCTAATACTTATATATTCATGGTAAACAACCGAAATAGTACGGCGGTATATGTAAGAACATTAGAAACGTCCAAAAGAAAAACTGATAATAAAAACACTTAGTGCTTCTGTTTATAAAATATTACAGTGTACAGAAGTGGTATAGCAACCATATTAGAAAACACAATGCTATAATCCAAATTGCAAAATAAATTGATTTTTTATATTTCATATTACGGCAACATGCCACTGACATGGACTGATAACTACTAATTGTTTAAGGAAAAAAAACATGTATCAGCAAATATGTTTGTGAGTATACCACGGACGTGATAGTCTAGTCGCGGTAGTCTTGATCCGTCCCTTAGAATATCTAATATTACAAAACACAATATAAATAATGTTATGTAATATAAACTATATAATATAAAATCATGTGGGTGACTTTAAATTTTACTTACGTAGATCCCTTGCATATATTTTTATATTAGTAACAGGATAACTTTGTCCTAAATCTACTCCCCATGAAGCATTTGTTCTGCCACCAGCCGTATGGGTACAATAATTATATTCCTCGCTATGATTAGTATCACCATCTACTGCATAACTAGAATCTCTATATCTATACCCATCCCAATAGGCTGAGCTCTGCCACGTATTTTTGTTAAAGGCAACATTTTCTGAAAATTCAATTTGAATCAGTTTGTAGTTGGCAAATTACCTGGCTAGCGTTATGTCACATAAATTTATTATTTCATTTCTTAATGGCATGCATAGATGGCAGAATTATAACCCCAAAATATATGCTCAAAATATCAGACATTTATTTTCTTAATCTCTATTTGAATGAGTTGTATAATATTTTGATGATATATAGTCCATTCTTCATTTTGTAAATAATATGTTTCAGAAAGCCACCTATTACATTTTGGTGATATATAGTCCATCCTCCATTCTTCATTTAATATAATATGTTTCACAAACCCAACTATTACATTTTCAATAAAGGAACACAAATTCGTGGCTTACGTGTGTGTAGTGATAGCAAGTAGTGACATTCATGCCAAATTTATCAACATATCAAGCTTATTGAAACAATTTTCAGATTCTTGGCTACGGCAAACATAATTCAAACTGTATACCATCGTCAAAATAGCATCAATTAAATGATAATATCAAAGACCTCTAAAGATTTCCTGGAAACCCTTGGGTTTTAATCGTTTATTTCATTTATAAAAACATTTAGTTTCTCATCCCTTTACACCTTTATTCCACATAATAAATTAAAATGCAAACGCGAATATTTGGTCACCCTTCGCATCGATACATACAAAAATGCAATCTGGCGCCGAACACAACTAAACCGAAGAAGCTCGAAATAGAACAAAGCAATGGGATTATACGATTTTAATTTTCCCATCGTAAACTTTCCACTCCTGAGCAGTAACATATCTAAATAGCTAGACTATGTGCCTAAATGTCTCACCCAGACTTTATGCTTAGGTTTGCATATACTGTGTAGATAGATTCTTTTCAGAGACAAAGTGATCTAACTTATAACAGTTTTACTAAGTTATATCTCAACCCGAATATTAATAACCTTAGGGGATCGATAGGACTATGTTACATCTAACCGAAAATATTGCTAACCCTTTAGTATCCATGGTACTATCCAGAATATCGATGTTGTCCTTAATATTATTAACCCTTTGGACTAACTCGCAATATTGACAACCCTTTGGTACAATGGTATATCTAATCAAGAATGTCAATAACCGTTTGATATCGATGGTACTATTTTATCAAAATATCAGTAACGGTTTAGTATCGATCGCTCTAGATATTGTCTTTCATGTTGACAACTCTTTGGTCTATTATTACCCCTTTACGATGGTGGCTCTACATGTATATGGTCCAGAATATTGATAACCTTTTAGAATCGATGGTACTGTGGTATATCTAACCCAGACGAAATTATTTTTAGGATTGCTTGTACATGTATTATATTACCCACTGTTTCCAGTGTCTTTATAGTTAGTTGAAAGTAAATTGTTTTTTCAACATATTAATTTTTTGTCAATCTAGACTGAAAACGGGTTCAAATAGCAACCATACCCGATATACTCGTTCATCGTACATTAACAGGATATCCAGCTGGAAAGAAACACAGATTACGGTAGCTTCCTACCTTTAGCGTTAGATAGTTCCTACCTTTTTGACATTTGTTCAAAATTTTAAACATTTGTTGTTCACAATTTTAAACATTTGTTGTTCACAATTTTAAACATTTGTTCAAGATTTTAAACATTTGTTCAAAATATCGGACATTTGTTTAAAATATCAGACATTTGTTTAAAATATCAGACATTTGTTTAAAATATCAGACATTTATTGTCTTAATCTAATATTTGAATCAGTTATATTAGTTATTTATTTTGGTGATATATAGTCCAGCCTCCCCCCCCCCCTTCTTCATTTTATATAATATGTTTCACAAACCCAACTATAACAATTTCAATAAAGAAACACAGATTCCGATGTTTAGTGGGCACAAGCATAAGCGACAATCGTGGAAAATTTATCAAATTATCAAGCTAAGTGGAAAAAGAAAAAATTTCAAGCATTCTTACAAAGTGCACCCAATCAAAGTGGCATGAATTAAATGGGAATATCAAAGAAGTCTAAAGATTTACTGGAACCCCTAGGGCTTCAGCCACTTTCGTTTATTTCATCTATAAAGATGTTTAGTTTCTCACTGCTTTACATTTTTATTCCACATAATAAATTAAAATGAAAATCCAAATATTTGACCACCCTACTCATTGATACATACAGAAAAGCAATCTGGCGCTGAATACAAATAAACCGATAAACCGAAGAAGATTTATTAAAAATGCTAGGATTAGCAACTGGAAACAGACCAAGACCATAAACTTAGTGTTCGATTATACGATTTTAATTTTCCCATAACCTTCCATTCATGTACAGTAACATACTTCAATCGCCAGGCTATATGTCTAAATTTTCTCACCCAGACGTTTTGCTTGGGTTTGCATATTGTAACGTTCATAGAATTGGCACCTTCCAATGTGAAATCCAAACAATTTTACACTGATGTAGCATTTTGTGTTTATGAACTTCTGAAGTTTGATTGTCCTTTAGGATAAATAGTACTATGTTATATCTAACCCCAAATATAGTTAACCCTTTAGTATCGATGGTACTGTGTTATCTAGAATATTGATAACCCTTTTGTATCGACGTATACTGTGTCATATAGAATATAGTTAACCCTTTAGTATCGATGGTACTGTGTTATCTAGAATATTGATAACCCTATTGATGGTATTATGTTATCCAGAATATTGATAACCCTTTAGCATAATATCGATGGCTCTACCTGTTGTCCTTGATAATACTAACCCTTTGGCCCCACCCCCACAATATTGATGGTACTATGGTATATCTGACCAAGAATATTGATAGCCGTTTAGTATCGATTATAATGATAACCCTTTGGTCTAACCCAGAATATTGATAGTATCGATGAATCTACATGTCCAGAATATTGTTAAGACTTTAGTATCGATGCCTCGACCTCGACATGTATATATCTAACCCAGTCTAAATTATTGTCTGGATTCGATGGTATATATACTATTCAAAAAAAGTAGGGGATATTTGATTTTGGGGGCATAATACTAAAATATGCAAATGACTACGAAAAAAGTCACTATAGAACCTAACAGAAGAAACATTTCCAGTTACATGTGACGCCCAAACGCACCAATAGCTACCGCATGGAATGCAGGTGATGCTTGGGATCATCATGGGGGTCCAACCCAAGATTTGCACGACTCTGACTTTGAATGTTACAGTCATTGTGGCATTGAATTCCAGGGTGGAAACATCAGTTTAATTGTTTTAGTGACCAGAAAACAAATTTTGATATGCGTCGGCTTACCCAAAATGAAAGGTTACGTGCCCTTGGCATGCTACAGATCGGCACAACACAGGCGGTTGTGGCGCGGACGATGAATGTTTCTCAGTCTGTCATAAGCAGGCTATGGTCCAGATACCGTGATACACAATCTGTACAGGACAGACCACGCTCAGGTCGAACAAGGGCGACAACTCAAGCCCAGGATCGATTTATCCGTACCTTGGCCTTGAGAAATCGTGTCATCACAGCAAATCAGATCAGCGCTCGTCTTCCAACAGACACTGGTATGAGAGTGAGTGGCCAGACGATTCGGAATCGACTGCATAGGGGTCACCTTCGCGCCCGACGTCCTCGCGTGATCCCTTGTTTGAGAGATCATCACATTCAGGCAAGACGTCGTTGGTGTAGGGATCGTCAACACTGGGATAATCGACGCTGGAGCAATGTGATGTTTTCAGATGAGTCAAGGTTCACTGTTGATTTTTTGGACAGACGTAGGAGGGTGTGGCGTCGTCGAAACGAGCGCTTCCAAGACGTTAACGTCATCAGACATGATCGATTTGGGGGTGGTTCTGTTATGGTGTGGGGAGGCATCACTGTTGCTGGAAGAACGGCTTTACATGTTGTTGCAGGGCGTGTTACAGGCCAGTACTACCGGGACAACATCTTGGCAGTCCATGTTGTGCCGTTCGCACGACGTCATGGCCGCCGTTTCATCTTCCAGGATGACAACGCAAGATGTCACAGGGCCAGGATCGTTACAGGTTACCTCCAACAACAGAACATCACCACATTACCTTGGCCAGCACTGAGTCCCGACCTCTCCCCCATCGAGCATGTCTGGGACATGCTTGGACAGAGGTTACGTCAACGTCAACAACGTCCTGCCAATGTCCAAGAACTTGCTGCTGCGTTGCAACAGGAATGGGACAATCTGGACCAAAATGACCTTAGACGTCTCATTAGGAGTATGCCACGTCGGATCAATGCTTGTTTGGCAAACAGAGGAGGATTTACCCGTTACTGACTTGGTTGTGATGCTGTGGTAACTTTGCTGTTTGACCCCGGGTATCATTTTACCCTTATAATGGTCAGTCTGTGCCTTACTTAGTCTAACGATCATTTGGAATAAATCGATGAATGTGAACTTCATTTCATTTTGTCATTTGTTTCTTCGTCAGTTTCATAAGGTGACTTTAATAACACTTAAAAATCAAATATCCCCTACTTTTTTTGAATAGTATATATATATAACCCACTATTCCAGTGCCTTTATAGTTAGTTGATAGTAAATATTTTACACAAATATTATTTTTATCACTCTAGACTAAAACTGGGTTCATAGCAACCAGACCCCGTATACTCGTTCATAGTGCATTAACAGGATACCCAGCTGGAATAAAAAACACAGAAAATGTTTCATTAAATGCTTCCTACCTTTAAAGTTAGATAATATTTCCTACCTTTTTGACAAGAAGAACCGTGCCATCCTTTCTGACATCTACCACTAGAGCAGTAACCTGTATCATATTTACAATCTCCTCCAATACAATGACATATATATCTATTATTATATCCAAATTTTAGTTGTCCTGATACAAAAAAACAAACAGATTACTAATTATTAAATACATGTATATTTCAATACATACATAACGTTGAAAATTTTTGAAAGATACATGGTTTCTAGCGTCATTTTGACGTTCATCTTGGGAAACTGGAGGGCACTTTCCTAAG